CCTTCCTTCCTTCCTTCCTTCCCTCCTTCCCTCCCTCCCTCCCTCCTGCATGGCTATGCACATGTGATGTGTATACCAAAAGATTCCTGTTAAGTACCACATATTTTAATTTTTAAGCACCTGTGAAATTTTTTTTTTTTTTTTTGCGGTACGCGGGCCTTTCACTGTTGTGGCCTCTCCCGTTGCGGAGCACAGGCTCCGGACGTGCAGGCTCAGTGGCCATGGCTCATGGGCCTAGCCACTCCGCGGCATGTGGGATCTTCCCGGACCGGGGCACGAACCCGTGTCCCCTGCATCGGCAAGCGGACTCTCAACCTCTGCGCCACCAGGGAAGCCCCTGTGAAATATTTTAAAGCCTTTTTGGAACATTAATATTTTCTGTGTACTTATATCTAACAATGAATTATTGCCTATCCCATAACATTAATAAATCATTAATATTGTTGCATGTCCCTACACTTTTATTCACTTTGTTAGCCAGTTTTTAAATGGGTTGGCTTTCGCCTGCTACTCCCACTATCTGGAGTGGTTGCTGCACGACTGGCCTTTTGCTGTTCATTTAGGTCTTAGCCAAGTAAGTACTCTGTCCTTTAGGGAGCCCTTCTCTGACCACCCTGGAAGTAGCCGTTACTTCCTCCCAGTTACTGCAGTGGTAACACTCACTGTTGCTTGACATTATCTTATTTTCGTATCTGTATTGTAAGTCTTCCCTGGCTAGAATGACAGTTCCAGGGTGGGAGCAGCCTTATCTGCCTCGTTCACTGTTGTATCATCAGCACAGAAGAGAGCATGGCGTTGGGAAGCATTCAGTAGATACCTGTTAAATGGATAGATTTCATGTGTCTTATGTCTTTTATTGACCATATTTTGGTATGTATTGATATACCAAAAGTAGATGAATTTAAGCTTGTCTTTTTTTTTTGTTTTGCGGTACGCGGGCCTCTCACTGTTGTGGCCTCTCTCGTTGCGGAGCACAGGCTCCGGACGCGCAGGCTCAGCAGCCATGGCTCACGGGGCCCAGCCGCTCCGCGGCATGTGGGATCTTCCCGGACCAGGGCACGAACCTGTGTCCCCTGCATCGGCAGCCGGACTCTCAACCAGTGCGCCACCAGGGAAGCTCTAAGCTTGTCTTTTTATTGGTAGGGATAGTCTAATTATCATTTAATTTGAGCACCCATTTAAGTTAGTAACATTAGTAAAATTACTTTTTAAAAAGCATCCTCATGAAACAGGTATGTTTGTTAGAAATAACAACTTTACTTATTATGAATGTAGATTATGCTACTGTGAAACCCAGTTTTTTTTTTTTTGTTTTTTTTTTAAATAAAGCAATTTTAGTTTTTGTTAGTGGTACCACCATTCTTCCAGGCTGGAAACTGCCCAGGCTTGAAAGCTTTTAATCGTTTATTCTCCTGCCTTCATTCAGTTTTAAAAATGAATTCTAATATGATGGTAGCTTTTTATGTTATTTCAGAAACCTGAGTAATGCACAGGTTTGATAAATAGAAGTCAAAGATGTAGAGAGAATGGGAGTTTTAATGAAAGCAAAATGTCAGTGAACACTAATTTTGTTGTTTTACCTACTTGCTTGCCTTGTTGAATAATACTGTAATAAAAAATGATTAGAATGTCTTCAAGATATAAATGCTCTCTAAATTCATTGTTGTTTTGTTCAGATTGTTAGTCTTCAGAAATTTAGATAAGAACTTAGAGATTTTTTAAAAAGTTAACAATAATAAATTTCTTCCAAGAAGTATTCTTTCTCTTCAACTTTCCTTCTTTACTTACCAGCATTTACAATGAAAGTACTCTTGCCCCTTGCATCATAAAGGGAAACAAAACCCTTTCCTCTTACCTCACCTTTTCTTCTAGCTGGCTCTCCTTTCCTTTTACAGCCAAGCCTTTGAAAGAATTGTCTCTACTCACTCACTTTCTGTTTGATTCTCAGGCTACTGTAGTTGTGCTCTCTTGCTTGCCCACTAAACTGTTCCCGCCAGACTCACCAGTGACCCAAATATTGTATACTTTTGATCTCCTTATCAGAATTTTACTCTCGATCCATTTCCTCCTTTTTAAATGTTCTTTTCTGAGGGCTTGTTACATTTTCTCAGACACTAGCTGCTCTTCCTCTGGCTTTCAGTGACATATTTGTGTTCCCGCTTCTCCTATAATTACACATACTCTCTCAAGGAGATGTGATAGCTTTCAGTTACCATCTGTATCCTCTGTTTATAAAAGTTATGTCTCTGGCTTGATATTCTGGGTCTGCCTATCTCGCTGATGACCAGGTGACTCCTTGTGAAGTCCCATCGGTGTATCAGGACTCAACCTGTTCCAAGCGGAATCTATTGTCTTATACCCTCTGTCATCCCCAAGCTGTTCTTTGCCTCAGTTTTTTTTTTAGTAATTTGCCTAAGCCAGATATTTAGAAATATGTTATCTCTTAGCTTTTAGCTTGTCTCCTTGCATTTAACTCTTTACTCTTCTAGCTCCTCACCTTTCCCCCATAACCCACATAGAAAATGATAATCTCTATATAGCATAGGAGTAAATTGAGGGTACTTGGTAAAAAAAATTATATTTTCTTCATATTGCACAGTAAGAAAATACAAAGGTTTAGAAAAGATTTTAAATATTGGATTGTATAAAATTTCCAAATAAAATCTTTTCAAAATTATGAGAGATTTGAGCTTGTAACCGGATATAGCTTTTAAAAAATATTATTATTTTTTAAAAATTTATTTACTTATTTATTTTTGGTTGCATGGAGTCTTCATTGCTGCACGTGGGCTTTCTCTTGTTGTGACGAGCGGGGGCTGCTCTTCATTGTGGTGCGCAGGCTTCTCATTGTGGTGGCTTCTTTTGTTGTGGAGCACCGGCTCTAGGCATGCGGGCTCAGTAGTTGTGGCATGCGGGCTCTAGAGCGCAGGCTCAGTAGTTGTGGCGCACGGGCTTAGCTGCTCCACGGCATGCGGGGTCTTTCTGGACCAGAGCTTGAACCCGTGTCCCCTGCACTGGCAGGCGGATTCTTAACCACTGCGCCACCAGGGAATTCCCCAAAATATTATTTCTCATGCTTGAAATGGTTACATACATTTGTTGATCAAGATTTTTAAATGATGATTTCTTCAAATTTTTGAGTTAATCATTGTGAAAACTTTTTCATTTAATCTTCTGTATTATGTTGTCCCTTTGTCATTTGACATGCCATCATTTATCTACCGAAATACTATTTAAGAGCACCTTTCTATTTCTTTTCTTTCTTTGTTCCTGCAAAAAAGCCTTGACAACATTCATGCAGTTTGCAAAAAATGAACAGTTCTGAATTGTGTGAAGTATTTTGCTTTAGTGTTCATTGTTTCCCCAGATAACTGGCTTCTTACAAGAAGAACTTTGTTTCCTCTATTTTTGCTGAGGCTTAAAAATTATGTCTTTTATGAGTAAGAAACACTGGACTTACTGGAATTCCTCCAGGGAATTCCCTAGACTGGCGGCTGAGTTCTTGCTGGGGTTGGTTACACCTGCACTGCCCAAAACAGAAGCCACCAGCCACATTTGGCTGGTCCAAATTGAAATGTTCTGTCAGTGTAAAATATACACCAGATCTCAGAGACTTATACAGGACAAAAATAAAATATCTCATCAATAATTTTATATTGATTACATGGTAAAATACATTTTAGATAAACTAGCTTAAATAAAACCTTAAAATTAAAAAAAAAGATGTTTTATGGTATCTTGGTGTAAGTTTGCTTGCCACCATTGCTTCATGCTAATAACATACTTTGTATGATGAGAGAAACCATATGTTTCCTCATTTGTGACTTAACCTTTTTGGACTCTGATATTGTTTTAATTTAAAAAGTTGTGTATTCTATTGGAAAAATAAATACTGTGTAAACTAAATCTACTGAAATTAGTAAAGGGGGTTATAGGCATTTATATAAGGCTTTATTATTTATTTTAAATTAATTAGTTAATTAATTTTGGCTACATTGGGTCTTCATTGCGGTGCGCGGGCTTCTCATTGAGGTGGCTTCTCTTGTTGCGGAGCACAGGCTCTAGGTGCACAGGCTTCAGTAGTTGTGGCACGTGGGCTCAGTAGTTGTGAGTCATGGGCTGTAGAGCACAGACTCAGTAGTTGTGGCACACAGGCTTAGTTGCTCCACAGCACGTGGGATCTTTCCGCACCAGGGCTTGAACCCATGTCCCCTGCATTGGCAGGTGGATTCTTAACCACTGTACCACCAGGGAAGCCCTATATAAGGCTTTAGATAAATCATTTTAAAATTTATAACTCATGTATTTTTAAGAATGATTTTTAAAGCAAATCATACTGAGAACATTAGAAAAGAGAAACATGTAGTAAGCACAATAGAGAGTATTCAAATATTGACTTCATTTAATTTAAAAGTTTAAAGAAACTTAAAAAATATTTTTTACACATATAAATAATAATTATTTTGAAAGTGAGTTTTCTGAATCCATAACGGATAGTCCCTTTAAATGAATTGGTTTAAATTGATTAATTTGAATTAAATTCAAAATAAATGTGCTCAATGAGGAGACCTTTATTTATGAAAGCAAATAATTTAGAAGTAATATTTATGTGTTTTTTGGGGGCACAAATGGTTTATTTTGTATTTCCATCAAGGAATTAGACCTTGATTAGTTAACATCAAAAGCCAGTAAGTCTGCAAGCAGTATGGAACAAGCAATCTATAAATCAGCTACTTAAAAAAATTAACAGTCAATCATTTTCTCTTTAGAAACTCCTAATAGTAGATGATAATGGTGATAGTAATGATCATATCTTATATGTTAGAAAAAAAGTAAAAAATGGAAAGAAAAGGTAAACATTTTCCACGTACACAAGTAAAACTAACACTCCACTGATGATAAACTGATTGCAAATACAATAATAAACTGGTGAGGATGGTCCAGCAGGACGATCAAGGAAGAAGATTCAAAGTCAGTGTTTATGGTCACCTTTTAACGTTTGGCAGCAGACACTTGTTGGGAAGTTTAGTCCTAGAGTCTTTAATCTCCCCAGCAACCAGAGATAGCGTTTGAAAACGAAAATCAGATAATTTCACCTCCTTGCTCCAAACTATCTAGTGGTTTACTATCACATTTGGAATAAAATTCAGATTTCTTATCATAGCTGAATAGGTTCTGCATATAGGACATTGCCTACAAAAGTTGTTCTTGTTTGTAGGGCATTCCAAGCTTGCTTCTAAGGGCCTTTGTATCAGCTGTTCCGCCCCACAAAAGTTGTTCTTGTTTGTAGGGCATTCTAAGCTTGCTTCTAAGGGCCTTTGTATCAGCTGTTCCCTCTGCCTGAAATCCTCCTCTTCTAGATCTTTGCTAGACTCTCTTTTTATATCATGCAAATATCTACTTCCAGATAACCTTCTCCAGAGACCTTCCAGTTGTTTCTTCTTCCTTTTTCATTTTTCACCAAGTTCCGTTAGTTCTCACTTGCTAATTATCTCTTGAATCTTTCTTGTCATATGTGTGTCTTCTCCCCAGTAGAGCAAATCTCTCCTCTAGATTACTATGCTGTATCATCAGTCTCTGCTATACACTCTGCAGTGAATCCCTACATCTCTTAGGTAAAAGTCCGAACTCCTGAATATGGCCTACAAGGCCAGCATTGCTCTGAACTTCTATGGTCTTAGCTTTTATTCATTCCCTGTGTTATTTTTTTTTCCCCTACCTTACTTTGCATGATGCAATTTTGTTAAATTTCTTTAGTTCCTAGACTAAACCTTTTTCTCTTTGAGCATGTTCTTTTTGTTAACTGGATCACTTTTCTGTGTAATTCTGTGTAATTCTTACTCCACCCTGCCTATGTGTAATTCTTACTCCACCCTGCCTATCTAAGCCTTTTCTGAATCCCACGATGTGGGAAAGGTACTATTCTCTTGTGTTCCTATGATATTCTACTACCTTTATCATACTGTATGTGAGTAGTCTTTTTCTTCTTCTTAGCCTTCACTGGATCATATGCATTTTATTTTACCTCATTTTTTATTTCAGTCCCCAGTGGCTGGCATGTATAAGCCTCAGTAAATTTTTGTTGAATTGAATGTTTTGGGAGATACTACAGTGCTCAGCCTCTTATTTCAAAGATCACTTTGGTTATAATACAGTTTTGGTTGGTGGAAGAAAGGTTGACTTTTTTTTTTAAGTTTTTTTGATTAATGTCTGTGTTTGGGTATTTTTATTCTTTTATAAAATATTTTTATAATTTTGGTTGCAGTTTGAATAAAGAGTATTAATTCTCCCCCCCTGTAGTTAAAGCCTTCCATCTCAAATATGATGAAGTTCGTCTGGATCCAAACGTTCAGAAATGGGATGTAACAGTATTAGAACTCAGCTATCACAAACGTCATCTGGATAGACCAGTTTTCTTACGATTCTGGGAAACCCTGGATAGGTAATCCTGATCCTAAAATGCACTTAACTTCTGCCTTATATTAGTAATTTTCCTGCCTCCTTATTGGATTTTAAGTTCCTTAAAGTTGTGAACCGTATCCCCCAAAGCCCCTTTAAGACATTGCCTAATTTGTTGTTGATCTAAAATAGATAATTAACCAATATCTTGGTTATACTGACTTGAACAAAGGGAGAAAGGGCTTATAGCTTGGTAGAAAGAGCACTAAATCTGAGTCAGAAGACCTAGATTTTAGTCTTGATTTTGTGATTCGGCTCGAATGAACCATGTGACTTTTCTGAACCTTGTTTTCTGTCTGTCCAGGGAACTTGGACTAAGTAAGTGATCCCTTAGTATTTTGCCAGCACCAAAAGGTCTCTGACTCTGGACTTGAGTTATGGGTAGCTGGCTGCTCATGAAAGGAGTTCAGTTTTTGAATATATCTTAATTACTAGTATAAATTGAGTTCTTAAAGACCTTTGCAATAATATCAGTTTTATAATTGGAAATTTAACAACAGCATGTGATCACAATACCACTGAATCTGTGGTTCTCGTTTCAGGTGCTCTGTAAAATCTGCAACTTTCTTTGTCTCTCACTGAATGTTATGGGTTTCCTCAAAGTCATAGGTGATTGAGTTAACCCAGTGGTTATAATTGATAATATATTAAAGAAAATCATTTATTATTCTAGCCAGAAGCTCTTAGATTATAGAAATTATTAAGAGGAATGTTTTTTCTGGCTTACTTCAGAAATCCTTATATTCCCAAAGGTTACAGTATCCATTTTTTAGAAAATAAAACATCCTATTCCAGTGTTGATTTTAAGTTTTAAAAAATGTCAACTTATTTTTACATGTAATATTCTAAAACTTCTAGAATTCTTATAATCATTATAACCTATTATAATATTATTTTTCAGGTACATGGTAAAGCACAAATCCCACTTGAGATTCTGAATTACTTGTTTTCCTGCTTTTCTGGAAATCTGGATTAAGAAGCATGGATACACCGTGATCTAGAGACTGGGACTCAAGCTTTATGAATTTATCAATGAAGAAGGTCACAGATCGATCTTTTATAAAACCTTATTTGATGATTTATGCTTCAAAGGGATGATGCCTGTCATATAAGCAAACTTTTTGGCTTACAACTATTTTTTTAATATTAGCCTTCTAGTCTGTAATGGAAATTGTATATTTTGATAGAATTTTTTTCTCCATTGGTTAAAGTAGCATTACTTAAAATTTGTTTCTTTAGAAAATAAATACAGGTTACAAAAGTGTGTATATGTAGAGGTTATAAGGCTCTCTAAGCCATCTTCTGATTTTTCATTGCTCTATAATTCCTTTTATTGAGGATACTGTGTTATGAATGGTATTAATTTTAGTCTCTGGAACTTCCAAAACCAAGCAAAGGGATGTGACTATTTTGAATGAATCAAAATGTCAGCCTGTATGTGTACTATATCTGTACTTTCTCTATTTAAAAAGGAATAATGAAAAATCAAGAACAATTCATCACCTTTGGTTGAACTGTTCGGCTTTTCAAGACTTCTTTACTTAAAATGAATACATTTAATGAATGTACATTCTTCTCACTGACTTTGGTAATTTTAAAACTTAGAATGATATATTTCTATCTGTGATATCTTTCCACTTGAAAAATCTCAAAACACAGATTAAAAACCTTATAGGCTATAGTACTTTTTATTTTGGGAGCCAGAGTGTGATTTGGGGGAAAGAAATGTATTAGTCCTACTGCAGTGTAACTCTGTCTTTTCTCATAAGTCCACCTTTTATTCTTTGTATGGTATAGGATTTTGAGTCTTCTGTTTCTAGGCATGTTCTTATCTTCCATTATCTTTAAATATTGATAAACTCTCCCAGACACCAAAGAACATATTTGCTTAATTAAGTGTCTGAACAGAAACAAGATAAAAACACTGGTATTTTTATGTGCGTATTCAATATCGTATAAAATATAAAACCTATATTTTAACTTAGTAAAATATTTTACTACTTCTGTACGTTAGACAGAGTGTTGCATCCAAGGTAAAACGAATGAGCTTTTTTCTTGAGTCTTGATCCACCTTTTATTATTAAAAGCAGCTTTTGGAACCTTTACTCCCCTAAAGAGTTTTTGCCACTAGAATTGTTGCTGATCATTCATCTTATGTCATTTCCCACCCCACGAATCTCTCGTAGGTTAACATATTTTATGTATACATTTAGCTCTTTCTTATGTTAAGCTGACATTACCTAGCCTCATTTTGAAATTTAATGCTATCGTAAAAATGAGAAGCACTTAATATTTATTTTTTAAGTAACCAAAAAAGTCCATGCCAATAATGAACAGAAGAAGTATTTATTCATATGGAATTCACTAGGTTCCTGAGGAAGAAAGCAGTCAGCGTTTTAAATTATTAGATTTTAGGATATTTATAAGGTTTGAACAGACTCTGCCCCCCACCCCTTTCTTCCCTTCTCTGCATCCTCTCTTCTTGAAAAGAAAACTCAAATTTGTTCACATTAGAATTTCTCAGCATATAAATCTGTTTTCAAAATAAATTGTGTTGTATAAACTTTCTCCGTGATGAAATAGTCAAGGACTAGAATCTGTAATATTTTAATGTAAGATTACTTGTTAAGACTACTACAAGTGGACATGAACTACCTTTCTATAAAGATTTTTAGTATTTATACTTATGTATGAAATTTATAGAGTGTGGTTAAAATTGGGAACATCTACTTTAAACAGGGTTTATTTTTCTATCTTGAATTTGCCTTACGTGTATTCAGAGGCTCTGGAAATAACATTAGGAAAAGTACAAATATGCTGTTTCATGTATTTGAAAATCAAACCCTTAGTATGTACTTTTTGTTTTTTTGTTTTTTTTTTGACCTTCATTCCCTTAATTAGGTTCATGTAATTCATTTTATAGCAGTTAATTCTAAGGAAAAAAGCTTCCAGCCCATCACTCTTCATCCTCTCATGGCTCCAGGTCCTGTAGCGGCACCTGTCACAGTGCCTTGCACACAGTAGGCATTCAGTACATATTTATGTGCACGAATGAGTGATGGATTCTCAGTGTAACTGATTTATTACAAAAAAGTACTTTGACTCTACTTGGTCTTGGAGTTTAAAAATACAGAATTGTAATTGTAATTCCCTGTAGGGAATGAAGAGTCCTATGCAGATATTTTAATGGAAAGGAAGTATGCATTAGTAAGTTTGACTTACCCATAAGTAACTGGAGACACCCTTGTCTTGTCTCACCAGTAAAAGAAAGCGCCTTTTCTTCATTCGTAGGACACCTTTTCTGAGTCAGGCAACAGTAAGAAGCTTGTGGGTTTCAGTCAGCAGCTCTCAACCCTGACTGTACGTTAGAATCATTTGGGGGCCTTTAAAAAATTCCGTTGCCTGAATCCTGTTTCTGATTTAATTTGTATGGGATGAGACCTGTTCATCAGTATTTTTAAAAAGTTGTTCTTCAGGTATTTTATGTTGAGAAAGGATCGAAAATCACTGGCTCAATTTGTTACGAAAACAATGCCAGTATTAAATGTTGTGTCGTCTCCTCCTTTTTTTGTTTTTTTTGTTTTTTTTCTTTTGTGGCCACCTTTTGCACTAGACCATCCCCATTATTGGTGGTATTGGCCTATAGTTACACAAGACAAATTCAAGTCTTATTTATTTAATATACGAATATTTTGCTGTTTAATATTTAAACAATGTTTAATATATTTCCTTATAAACTAGTATTATAGTTTATGGTTTGTTTCCCATGTGTCCATATCCTTTACTAACTTTTTTTTTAACAGCAGCGTGACAACAGTCCATACAGAAATAACTAATTCATAATGAGGAAAATTCATAATTAATTTTTAAGGTAGAAGGAAATAAAGTATTAATTTCTTATCTGCCATGCAGAATTAGACAAATAGAATTTGCTTATGAAAGGAAAGAGGCATACTTCTTAATTGGTCTACACAGAAAAGTAAAAGTAAATTATTCATTTAAATAAGATTCATTATCTAATAAACATTGAAGGAAATATTTTTCCTAAATAAAAAATTTTGTGACTCCTAAAAAAATTAAAGTGATGACATTGTTCTTTTTTGGAGGGTGGGGAGGGGGTATTTAGTTGCCATATTTCTTACTACATAACAATTTCATTTTATTGGTGTCAACAGTAGGAACAGTGATAAGATATACATATGTGGCCAGGAATAAAGTGCCACTTTGCCAGATAACTATTATATGAGTCTTAGTTGTCAAACTAATTCGTTCATAAAATTTTTTGAGACTAACAGTTTATAATATTACAAATGCAGCCATTACAAAAGCTGGTCAAAATTAAAGGAAACATGAAAAATAAATTTAATCACATTAGCCTTAATATTACGTGACTGAACTTTTATGATTCACTTGGATTTGATATTCAACTGATTAACCATGGTATATTAACTTTAGAAATAAAAAGGGGAGAAATGACTGAATTTGACATAAGAATTGCATTAGAAATTTTGAAATGCCATGTCCTATATGTTCTGGCCAACTCATTGCCACATTTGGATATATATTGACCCCAGCATGGTTTCTATATTCATATGTTGGAATAATAACCAAGGACAAATTAAAAATGTATAATAGATGTATAAAGAATTATATTTAGTAAATGCATAATAGGTAATAACACTTTCAGGTTATTGATCTGTTTGGTTTTTTATGTATTATTTTAGGTAGTGTTTATACGAGTATCTTGGGAGTTATAAATGCGTGCCATTTAAATGAGTAAAGCTAATGAAATAAAACCAGTTTTATTGCCAAAATTCAAAAAGTGGGGTGATACTATGTCAAATTTAAGTAAATGACCTATCTCTGAGAATTTCGTTTGCCATTGAATTCCATTTCTATCCACTTTAAATTTACTAAAAGCTACTTAACCTCCAAGTTTGATTAAAGTGCTTTAATATGTAATGCGGTTCATGTACATGGTGTAGGCACTAGAAGTGATTGTCTAGCCACCAATTTTATTATTTCTCAAGCAAAGTGGTTCTTGAGTAGAGTTTAAATTTGGGCGGTGTAACCTGATAAAGTGTTGTACTCATTCTGATTTAACATCAGTGGATTTTTAAGTCTCCGGTTTAATTGTGAATAAAGCATTTTGTGGTACTTTAATACTACCCTCCCCGCGCCCCCATGCCCCACCAGAAAAATCACATTCAGCCAAGAAGACAGAAACTGTACTGTGGGGTAGGATGGTGGATGATGAAAGTCTTTACATAAAATGATTCATCAGATTTTTCAGGCATAGTATTCCTCTGTTTCGGAAATAAATACAGTATATAAGTTTTCACTTTGAAAACTACTGAGTTAAGTACATTTATAGTCACCTTTTCTGTTAATGAGTTAAATAATACAGAGACTCGTAGTTCTTCATAAAGATAAGCTATGTGCTCGGCTGAACTTATAGCTTGGTTATGGTCACATTTCCTATATCCTTGTAATAGAATTAAGAGTGTATCCTGGTAAATTACATTATCTTTACAGTTTGAGCATCCTGATTTTAACATTTAATAGTTTCAAAACAAACTGTACTCCCACATAATCGAATCATTAGCAGCAGCAGCATAGTGGCGGTGCCAGTAATAATGTGTGAATCTTCTGCAGCAAAATTTCTTTAATGAAGAGTTTAATGGGCCATATTCGAACTTAATTTCCATCCAATTCATAAGTGCCCACTAAATATGTATTTTATTCTGCTCTCTGTTCCTTTGATCATCTGCTCTTGGGTGAGCTTTCACATAACTAAAATAGATATAGCCTGAGTTGTAAATGTTGAACTTTTTTAGGGCTTAAAGGTACTAGTATATAAATAACAGCACATTGCCAAATAAGCTTTTTTTTCTGTCATTTTCTAAAACACTTTTCCTATTATATTTGATTGTATAATGATCAGCATTTATGGTGGGTTAGAAGACTTTTCCTCTCAATTTTCTTAAATGACCATAAAAAACATTAAAAATAGCTGTGGAGAAGGCTGTGTTGTTGAGTCTGTCTCATCATTATTTGTAGATCCTTTGGCATAGAATTATTAATAGTTTATAATTCACCCTCATCTATAGAATGTTGATTTATATCACGTAACTGATGTCAGTAGGGCTGAGGCCATATGAAACAGAAGGCATCTGAGAGATTCTGTTTATCACATTTGGATATTTTAAAAGGGCTGTGCTTCATTTGCTATAAAAAAATCCAAATGGAAACACATTGGGTCATACAACATTCACTGTGATAAAATATGGTAATATATACTCACAGAAGAGCTGCCATCCTGCAGTTCACAGTGTTAAAGATGTAAATGTGGTAATGGCATCAATTTTCCTTTTTAAATTTGTTAAATAATATGAACATGTTTCTCTTTAAAATGGAATAATGTGAAGGTTTGTCAAGTCAGTGTTGATGGTTGGGGGAGATCAGATGAGCTTGTTCGTGCTCGTTCAGTTATTTTAGCACAGTTGGGCATCACTAATGTTTATGGTGTTTTTGATTTTAAAGAATTTGTATTCTTAGTTATGTATTTTTATTCCATAATACACCACTGAGTATAAAAAGGAAGAATAAGAGTTACTGATGATGAAATAAAATAAATTGAGGAGCATTAATGTAGTTTAAAGCAAG